AGGCTGCCCAGAGAAGCTGTGGCTGCCCCTTCCCTGTTGAAGGGCAGGTTGGATGGGGCTTGGAGCAGCCTGGGCTGGTGGGAGGTGTCCCTGCCCATGCAGAGGTGGGACTGGATGGGCTTTCAGGTCCCTTCCAACCCAAACCAGTCTGGGATTCTGTGGTACCTGAATCAAAACAAGAGTGGGATTGGTGGGTCAAACTGGTGGTGCTGGGATGGAGGAAGAGGTGGTATAGGAAGCTGCAATCCAACAGGAGGGCTGTAGGGGCTCAAAGCACAAGCCTTGGTCCTCTGAGCACCCTCAGTCTCCCTGCTCTGCTCAGCACCTCGAGCTGCCTGCACAGGGGACCCATAAATCAGCCAGGGCTGTGTCCCAGGGTCCTGCTCTGCGGGGCTCCCCAGCTCCCACGTGGGCTCAGCAGAGGGTGGGAGCCCCACAAAGTCTGTTTTCTGCTGTGGTTTTGCTTGGTGGTGAGACCTTGGCCCAGGCTGCCCAGAGAAGCTGTGGCTGCCCCTTCCCTGTTGAAGGGCAGGTTGGATGGGGCTTGGAGCAGCCTGGGCTGGTGGGAGGTGTCCCTGCCCATGCAGAGGTGGGACTGGATGGGCTTTCAGGTCCCTTCCAACCCAAACCAGTCTGGGATTCTGTGGTACCTGAATCAAAACAAGAGTGGGATTGGTGGGTCAAACTGGTGGTGCTGGGATGGAGGAAGAGCTGGTATAGGAAGCTGCAATCCAACAGGAGGGCTGTAGGGGCTCAAAGCACAAGCCTTGGTCCTCTGAGCACCCTCAGTCTCCCTGCTCTGCTCAGCACCTCGAGCTGCCTGCACAGGGGACCCATAAATCAGCCAGGGCTGTGTCCCAGGGTCCTGCTCTGCGGGGCTCCCCAGCTCCCACGTGGGCTCAGCAGAGGGTGGGAGCCCCACAAAGTCTGTTTTCTGCTGTGGTTTTGCTTCTTAAGGGTTGAGCTCACGCTCTGGGCAGGGGGAAGGGAACTTGAGGGGGCCTGATACATCCCCAGACATATTTTTCATGAGACTGGGAGTAACCAAAGAGTTGAGACACTGCCAAGCTGGAGTGAAAACAGCCCTCAGATTCAGGGCCTTCCCAGAAAAGGGAAGGAGCACAAGGAGGGGTAACACAAACCTTTCTCCTTAAGAAATTGAGCTAAAACCATCTAGGCATTTGGGGCAACTTCCTCAACGTTGGAGGAACCTGCCTTTTTAGAAGGAGGCTTCAAACTGGGCTCACATGGGGCTGGGAAACTGGGCATGTGCATCTTGGGTCACATCTGAAACTCTCATCACTGCCTCCCCCTCCTTGGGACCCCAACACTGGGGTCTGGGCAGAGCCCAGGACACTGTGGGGCTGAGCCTGGGTTGTCCTGGGGGCTCCTGTGTCCTTCAGGGTGACTCTGAGGATGCTGGTGGCAGGATGGACTTGGCACCACTGGAGGAGGGAGGGGGAACACGTGGGATGCAGGGATGGTGCTGGGGACTCAGAGCTGCTTCAGATGGGATCTGGTTTAGCCTATTTGCAAGAACATATTTCAGTCAGATACTGCACAACTCTCCCAGAGGAAGGGGTGTGTGTGTGTGTGTGTGTGATAATTCCCAGACATCCACCACTTAGAACAAAGAAAAACCTTTTTTGACTGCACGAGCCTGTTAAGAAAAACCATCTCCATGTCACCAAGTCCCCAAGTCCAACCTGCTTTAGCTCAGAACAAGCTGTCAGCACAGGTTGGACAAGCTCCACTTGGCAAAGCTCCTGCAAGCTCTCCACCAGCTGCTGGAACAACTGACCCAACCCAAAGCATCTTGTGTCTCTCCTGACCTTCAGCACACACTGGCAGTGACTGCTGAGCTGTGGGTCCCCTCCTGCTCCTCCTGGGGCCCCAGGGAGGAGGCCCCAAGGTCTCTCCAGGGCAGAGCAATGCTCTGGCATCTCATCCCACCTCCTGCACATTGCAGCCAGCTGCTGTCAGCTGCTGAACTCAGCCCAAAAGCTTCATTCCTTAAACCTTTTCCTACAGGAAGTGTCCAGGTTGCTGGTTCTGCACCAAGACTTGAAGAACCCCCACCTCTCCAACAGGTTTTCTCAGTGGACAATACCCGTGCTGCTAAAGCCAGGATTGTTGTTGGTTTTGGTTGTTTGTTGTTGGTTTTTTTTCTCCTTTCAGATCCAAAGAGGGTGGGTGCAGCTTCCAGCCACTGCTGCTTCTACCCTTTCTGTGCCTCCTGATCCATAAAGGACTTGAGTCTTCCCCTGTCAGTGGGAGATGCTGAGAAGCTCAAGGATGGCAAAGGTCCATGTGCTTTGAGCCACACAGAGACAAGACCACTGTGGTCCACCAGGCAGCCTGAGATCTGGAAACAATCTGAAATCCAGGCACATTCCCAGGAAAAGCCTACAAACCAGGTGACATCAGGAAAGCACCTTCCACACCTTCTCCTTGAAGCCCTGGAGACCAAGAGAACTTCAGCCATCCCCTGACTTGCCATGATGGTTCAGAGGTTGCAAACCTCAAACAGATGATTTTTACATGCTGCCATTTCCCTGGGAATGGTCTCTGTCAAGGATCAAATTGACCAGGTTCTCCTCCCAGCTCTGGGCAGCAGAACAGGAGGCTCTGTCTGTCCCTAGATACGTGCAGGGAAAAGAAACACCCCCAAGTCTGTTGTATTTTTGAAATACTGAAATTTTGCAATGGATCTCAACAAACTCTTCCCCCACAAAGCACTGCCTTGCATGCAAACCAGGAGGCTTGAAAATGATTCAGAAGTAACCTCTTCTGCTCTGGTTGGGTTTCACTTGGGGCAGGATCAGGTTTAAGTGCCCAGATCACATAACCTGGCAGATCAAAACCACCTCAAAGTTGACTTTGCCATGATGGTTTCTCCCTCTGGAAAAACGTTTCCTCCTGTGGTACCAACTTCTCAGCCCAGTTCCAGAGGGGAAATCTTCAAGACACCAGCATTTCTCACAAGGCAATTTCTTTTCCTCAGCAGTTCTAATGAATAACACTCAGAATAATTTAAAGACTACAAGCAAACACGGAGCACCTTCCCCCTTGAGGAGATTTTAATTTATGAGGTTTTAATTCTGTCCTTCAGCCTCTCTCCACCCAGAGCTCAACTTCCTTTTTCTTTTTTTTTTTTTAAAGCCAGTTGTCATTTCCTCTTCAAAAAACACTGTTGAAATGAGGAACAGGCCCTCAGAAAAATACCCTTTTTTGCCTTCCCCTTCTCCAGGAGAGCAGGGCCACCTCACTGCAGGGTTTTAATCACCCTGAGTGCCAGGGACCTGAAAGCTCATCCAGTCCCACCCCCTACAAGGGCAGGGACACCTCCCACCAGCCCAGGCTGCTCCAAGCCCCATCCAACCTGCCCTTCAGCACTGCCAGGGATGGGGCAGCCACAGCTTCTCTGGGTAACTTAAGCCAGGGCCTCACCACCCTCACAGCAAAGAATTTCTTCCTCATGTCCAATCCAAATCTCCCTTCATCTCAGCTTAAAACCATTCCCCCTCATCCTAGAATTCCATTTTCCTGTGAAAAAGTCTCTTCTGTGCTTTCCTGTATTCCTGACAAGTACTGGAAGGTGCTCTAAGGTCCCCTTGAAGCCCTCTCTCCTCCAGGCTGAGCAATCTCTACTCCCTCAGCCTGGATGGTGGGTCTAAGGGGGGCATGAGGGAGCCAAGAGCTGGCAGAAGAGCAGTGAGGGGGCAGGCAGCAGCTGGGGACAGCAGGGTGGCAGGGCCACCTCTGACTGCTGATCCTTCATGCCAGAGCTTGCATGGAGTGAAAAAGAGCTTCATTGCTGGAGGGAAGGGGACGAAGGCATCAGGCAGGGCTGGGCTGGCAGCAGCATCTCTGCAGGGACACACAGGGTCACAGGGGGGATCGGGCTGGGGGCTCGAGGAAGAGGAGGATGGGCACAGGAGGGCTCCAGGAGGCTCCTCTGCCTTTCTTCTCCTCTTTATTGGAATCCATGTACTAAAGCACATTGCTCCCACACACGTACCTGCTCTCTGGGTGCACCCAGCACCACCTCCCTCACACCTGGGGACAGACAGAGGCCAGACAGCTTTGCTCCTTTATTACGCGTTGCCCGGGCACGGGGAAGCAGCAGCAGGACCAGGACCAGCACGGGCCCTGGAGAGCTGTGGTTGGAAAGACCTTTGCAAGAGACCACCAGAAGGGCAAAGCCTTTCACGTTGGGCAAAGAGCCCCTTTGGCTCCACGAAGCTGTGGCAGAGCCCGGGTGCTGCCCCCGCGGCGTCCCAGCCCGCGGTGCCGCTCTGCTCCCAAGGAAAGGGCCTTTTTTCCCCTGACAGATCCCCAACGAGCTGGAGAGATGGATAAGCACTTGACACCCTACGGCGTGTAAAGCCCCCCCCAAACCCCCC